CCAGCATTTCAACAAAAGATCGAAATATCTAGCTCATATTCATGGATTCTAGTTAGAAGAAACTGATTTTGCCAGATGAAGTCTTGATTAAGCGATGAAAGCTTGTCTCATTCGAACCAAAACTATCAACCTTAGCCAAGACACAGCAAATAAACAACAAACAAAACGAATAGCGAACATGGGACCGGACGCGGGAGTACTCTTGGATTTGCAGAAGAAGTTTCCTCACTAAATTCTGAGATTTGCTGGTTTATCTTCTGTCTGTCCTTGAGCGCATCCTCCCTGCTAACCTAGATATGCGGTGTGGCCTTCGAATAGTAGAGTTTATCTGGTATCTGCCTTCATCCACAACAATAGGGAATCCGCAGAATGATGCCCTTATTTTTGTTGTTGGGTTTAGCGAACAATTTGGATTTGTGGATTATATCTCGCGCACTCATTCCACCGGTTTTCTCCTAATTAAAGATGCAACATTTGGGAAATTGCACATGAGGAATAGTCACAGTCGGGGGGGGGGGGGGGGGGACCTTTATGCTTTGTTTAAAGAACGTTTCATAAATACTCTGCTATTGGCTCTTTAGTCATTTAAGTTTTGTTCTTGCTTGGTTTCAGTAGGTCGTCTGCCTAGATGTACATAAATCTTAGCGCAGAATGTGTCTTCAATTTTCTCGAAGTTCAGACGGAGGGTGAAGTACCGCCCGCTGCTCCACTTTGTACTTTACTCTCTTTGAAAGTGAATCGTCTTCAACTATTACTTCATTGTTTCTAAACCCTCCGAACCCTTCATCAGGAGTTCTCACATTGTATCGGACATATTCTTACGCATAAGCTCCACACTGTGCTATATAGCATCGTAAAGGATAAAAATGCGTACTGTTACCAAACATTGATTCTTGCGGAGGAGTCTGCTGTGAATTTCAGAAGAGTCCAGGTTTCCCCCGAGTTCTCCAAACATTTTCTGCAAGCTTTCATAGAAATGTTATCGAAGGTAACCACTCATACGCATGCACAGAACCCATTATGGGAGTCCACTAAATCCACCGGGTGGCCACATCGAGGCTAAGTTCCGTTCGCTTTTTTTCGGGTTATGGAGCATCTGAACCAGGTCTGCTCCCAGAAACGCTCTCAGACCAAAAGACTAAAACGCTTGTCAGTAGGTTACAGTAGGCGAAGTGGCCTGACACAAATTCATGAAAAAGTAAGTGTTGATATGGATAGACAGTTTGGTCACTATAGAGTTACAATCAAGAAGTAGCCGTATGTGTTATTCGTACAAGCGTGGGTGCTGTCCTTTCATAGAAACCCCTGTTAAGCTGGAAGCTCCCAGAACATCCCGGCAAGGAGCTTGATTTTTGAGAAGTTTTCGGCAGATACTTTCCGTGCAACAGAATGTTTTTTGGAAGCCAGGTGTACGACATGCTTCAGAAAGTTTGGTGAACGTGAGGCATTTTGACTGATTTTTTATATTACTGTCACTTGGCGGGAAAGAAATATCCAACCCCCAAAGGTTTTCATTCAGGCTGAGGGGCTCTGTTCAGTTGGGAATTGGGGTATTCGTCCAGTCTCAGAAAATGATCGCATTATCTTCGAAGAACAATACTTGGTGGGATTTCCAATGTTGACTTCGAATGAGCTACATGTTATGTTGACAAAAAGGTCAGTGGTATCCACTTCCGGCTCCGCTTTGGCGCCGCTACTCATGAACCGCTCCTTGGTTGACGGAAGCGTATTGTCCTTAGAGAAGGAGCGTAGCAAACATCATCTTGAGGTCAACACTGTACACTATCGGCGTTCGGTGCAAATAGCGCGAGTGGAGGTTTGTGCGACCCGGCATGGAGTAGCACCACCAGTTTTTCGAGAACGGGTCATCGTAACGCAGAAGTCTCGAAGGAGTATGAAGTCACACCAAAGTCACAGTCCTATTCCGTTACTATCAAGACCTAAACATAGCGAAGAGTGGACTCGAATTGGCTTCTCGAGATTTTATCCTCCAAAGGGGGAAGACCAACTTTGAATGTATGGAATATGCCACGCCATAGCTCCGATATGGACAGTGCCACATGTTGGGCTACTGCGCACATGGTCCAATAATTGAATCCCAGATCTATCAATCCATCCATCATTCCGGGCTCGGTTGATTGACCGGTCCGGAACTCTTCTGAGAGTGAGAGTGAAAACCCTGACTTCCCTATCGGCTGACCACCGTAATCCATAGGCTGTCTAGGCCACATACGCAAAAGGAAGATCCGCTTAAGGATAAATCGATTGCGTTGCTGCTTTCCACAAAAGGGAAGACTGAAAACCAGAAACCTTCATATTCTACAAGGTTCTGTCTACTTATATTTTTGACCGAATTCAGCCAGTTGCGTAAGAACCTCAAGGAAAAGTATACTCGATAGCAATGGAAAAGGGTTCCTAACTTTAAGAAATGAAAGAAAAGAAAAGATGGGGTGTTCTGCATGAATGAGCCCTGGTGGAAATTGTCTCCTATCTTATGTCAACTATTAGAGCTGGAGGAATTTGATGCGTGTTCAGAAGATTGGGGAAAAAGGCGATTTTAAAAACCCTGACTCACTGAACCCGCGATAATTTTGTTTACATGGATCAATGATGACTGAAAGTTCTGAGCGTTGCACTTGAAGTATAAACGTTTCGAGATCCGCGTTACCAATTTTTATCAGCTTCATACTACCTCGTGAATCTGCTTACTATGAAGTGTAGTAGTGAAGTTCCAGTTTCCGTTGCAAACGTAGGTATAAATTTCAATTTTGATGGTGGTGCAATGAGACAGAGCCCACTACTAATACTTCCATACGATTCATTGGAATTTCAATGGGAAAGCGGTTTCCAACGTTGTGAATCCGAGAATTCCAGTTAACTTTCAGGGAGTCATGTAGATGCTACTTGGTTAAGGAAATCCTTGAATTGCTGCATTCCTCGACAGACTAAGGGAAGAGTCAAATACTTTTTGAGTGATTTATGGTAGTTTATGCTCTTGTTTGTTCCGGGTAGAAGAGTTATTTTTGTACCAGCTGCATCAATGGTGACACTTCATTTGCCGTTTAGGATAGACCTATAAAACCGTAAGGCTGTTTCTGAGACGTAAATGTTCAGTAGAAAAAGGAAAATGCTGTTAGACCGTCCCCACCCAGTCATCTACTATACTTCTACAAGCCGTGAATATCGTAAAGTAAATACCTCCCAGGCTTATGGTATATCTGCGACTGTTCCCAAACTTTTAAAAAGCAGATTTTTTCAGTTGTTTTACCTTTAAGTTTTTTTGCTGCTTTTTGCATATGCTTGTTTTCTATTCTTCTTACTTTTACTTATTTTGGTCGGCCCTTTACTTAACAGTTTTACTATTTTTTCCAATTAGTTTGATGCATTTACAAAGTGTTTGTGATCTTTTGGTCTCTGGTGGACTGGTGACCCACTCGGGTTTTTTTAGAGTTTAAAAGCACGCAAGATGCAATCAACGATTGATGCATTTCCGGCCGAAAGAGCTGATCATATGATATGATCCGGGGTGGCGTCGAACTGCTTGCTCAATGATCAGTACGATATGATTGACCATCTCGACTCCTTACCAAAAAAAGAAGATATAAAAGGGCTTTCTCCGATAAGAAAGGTTTTCCTTCCCTAATTGGAGAAAACCAAAGCACTAGGGTAAACACAACACAGCACGCTTGAATACACTGGAAGATGATACCCAAAACCGTCAAGAACTTTTTTTTCTACGACCACCTGATTCCTACCCCATAGTTTGCTGCGCATTCTTTGAACTTTGCTTTGTTAGCTCTTTTGGGCACCCTATGATTTCAGACGTATACCTAGACCAAGAGCCTTTTGAAATTTATAGTGAATGAGTTGTTTTCCTCCAAAATGATCACCTTTTCTTCTTGTTTTCAAACTCTTCTTCCTCCTCCTTCCCCTCTATTTTTACCTCTAAACCATTATCTTTTACATTTCTGGTTGCTGGTCCTTCTCTCGCATGTCCGAGCGCTTCATTTTGACAGAAAAAAAGAATTTTTTTNTTTTTTTCAGTTTACGTTTTGATTGAAAATCAGCAAAATATTCGTGGTCAGAGGATATGCGAGCGAATGAGGATATCGATTTTACGCGCATAAAACCCAGATGTGTTTCGATAAACATGCTGTGACGGAATGAACTGAAGGCTGAACCTGTTTCCATTTATACAAAGTAAACTACTTTTTATGGTAAAAATATTTATAACTTATAAAGTAATACTCCATGAGACATCCGTATAGCACGCAAGTTAACAAAACAATGCATTAAAAATAGAAGCAGAACGATGAAGAAAAAAAAAACGAAAATAAAAGGATGGCCCAAGGCCGCATGACCAGAAGCACATTCAGGCAATAAGTAGCACGCAACCAGAAAATTGCATGTTTACGAACAAATTGTAATCAACCAATCGATCAGTTCTCAACCAAATCAATAATTTCTGGTTGTCATGATATTTTTACATTGAAATCAGTCGAAAATATCGAATAGAACAAGTTGTAAGGCACAATAATATCAAGCACACTTCTGTACACACAAGGCACTTTGTGAATATCATCTATGGTACATACTAGTACTCCTAAATAATGGAGTCAATGGCTGTAATGGCGTCTAGCCGAGGGGTAGGACTTCAGGAACGGATGTAGGAACCGCAAGGAGGAAGGGGTGGTCTCAAAGTTCCGTTCCCTCCAAAATGGACCCGATCGGTTCGGGAGCCATTTTCAGGCGCGGATGAGGTCTGGCTGAGAGGGAAATCGGACAAGTCCATTTATCCAGTGGTTAGTAACTGTCTCGATCACCGTCTTTCATCCACCAGCTCATTACCCTTCCCTCGCCCTTGTTTCCTACCCCAGTGCTATTTGATACCCAAAGTCGCGCCCCGATCGGTGCCTTCAAGCTTGTGGAAAAACCTAAGTTCAAAAAATAATCTATTGAAGACCCAAACCACGTAATAGCGAGTACCATGGCTGTTGGGAAAAGGCGTCTAATAATCTCAGAAAGTAGGAGCAACAATAAGCCGTCGTAAGGACCCTAAGGCAGTTAGCAATGCAGGAATTCATAAATATTTTATATGTATAAATTAAAGCTTTCGTCCATAGCAGATCTCTATACCTAAGAAAAATGAAACAATGCGCCGAGAATAGTCATAACAAATACACATGCATCGCTTGCTTAAGAAAAATATTACCATATTATTAATTATACTTGTATTATAGCTGATATCTTTGGGTAAAACCTTATTCTTATACCAGGCAATAATAATGAGACTCGTCGTGGAATTTGACGTTCAAAGATCATGCATGTATTTTGGAGCTACTATTTTGGTATAGGGTGGTCAGTAGATGTTCGAATTGATACCGATCGATTATTATTCCGACGAGCAGATACTATTTTGAAGTTGAGCAAAAATATTTTTCGTATGGGCGATGAAAACGTTGTCTGGTGAGCACTGATTCAATAATTGACCAGTCGTTGTGACAACCTGAAATCAAATGGGTAATGATTGAAAAACCGGGAAAATCAAATAAAACGCGGATATGAGCTCAATGAAACTCTGTGGTTTATAGGCTCCTAATTTTATTTCAGAGAAAATCTTAATTTATTCTTTTTCCTCCAAGTTTTGACAGCATCATGAAAATGGCACAGATTGAATAATCTTACTGAGGATAGAAGGATCAAGGATAGTCTTCGGGGGTTAATCAATCCCTTCTGAGGGATGCGCCCCCGCATTCGACTTCCATTCAGAAACGCAGTGGCGTATCGAATGCGTGTGTGGCCTTTAAAATGACCTGTTGTGGCCAGCAAATGTAGGAGTCAATGCTTTTACCCTCCCAGGAGAGTCTGGTACCCTTTAACTGACACCGAATGAATGAAGGCTCCCGTGACATGCGTATGTGATAGTGCGCCACTTGTCACTAAATAAAACCTTACTAAGAAAGGCTAGATATCACGTAAAGAACCAGATACTGCATGGGTGATANGCATCTAATAGGGTCGTATACCGTTCAAACTACCGAATATCCTCATTACTCAAATATGGATCAATTGCCAGGACCATAAAAAATCGAAAGCCTTACTTCATTATCATTTAGGCAGCACAGAATATGAGTAGGTCAATTATGCAGCATTTCAAATGTAAGGGGTACGTGGAACTTCCCATAAATGGACGAGTTTGTCATACACCTCAGTCAGAGCAGTTGACTAAGGCAAACCACTGTGAGGGCTATAAAGATCGTTTTTTTTAAAGAAGTCATCTGGTCATCACGATTATGTAGCCTCTCCAAGATGTACGATACAAAACTGCAGTCGGGCATTCTCCTTAGGAACACAACTTCAGTTGTACCTTTGCTTACTTTACCTATTAATTTACCTCTACCTATACCATTACTTAGCATTAAGTTTGGTAGTCACTCTTTCCAACATTCACTTAACAGTTTCAGTAGCAAAAAAGTCAACCCATTTCTGTACCTCCACTCGCTGATCCAATTTCTGTAGTAGTTAAGCATGCTTTTCTAGAGAATATTCCAGCCTATCAAACTATTTATAGCGAAGTTCGTAGAGATATTCAGAAAGTCAACAAACCGCTCTCATCATCTCCTTGAACTTCTCCAGCTCGTGCCCCTTGGCCAGCAGAGCAGCCTCAAGTTCTGTGGAACGAACAGCATGTAGTCGACAGGATGTGCAGTACTTCGACGGCGCCTCGCCTGCTTGACTGGATGGAGGAGAAGGCATGGATTCGTTATGTGGAGAAGCAGCCACTTCTTCGGTATTACTCGGTGATGTCTCGGCAAAAGTCGTCGAGGATGTCTCTTGCGGGCTGAAAAACCGTCAGATCGTCAACTATTCATTAGAACTATTTGGATTGGCTCAGGGAATAAGGGAGGGTTGTATTCACCTTGAGGAACACGACGAGTTGGTTGCAGTGGACAGAATGTTGACATGAACGTCTTCAGCATCGGTCTTGATGGGATTTACTGGAGCCAGTACAGGAAGTTTTGCCTGAAAGAGAGTGGTGCAAGAGAAGATTAAAGTAACTTGGGAACTGGGGAACGTCGAATTGAAGCGAATTTACCTACCTCGTCACCAACTGCGGGAACATTGTTCTGAATATGACACACATACATGTGAACAGCGAAAGCAGGCTGATTAGGGAATGCACGGCTACATAGGGCGCAGAACAGTGACGGAATTAACTGTGCCGTGGGAGCTGGCGGTGGTGGTGGCGGTGGGACGGCTGGCTGTGGTGGCAGCTGAGCTGCCTGATGCCGAGCGAACAGGGCAGCGAGCGCTCGCTGCTGTTGCTGAGCAATCAGCGATTGCGCCATCTGGAAAGAGAACACGAAGATTTATGCCATTCACCCGATGCCATAACTATAAATATTTACCTTTGCGACGTTTTCTTGATTGAAATTTAGAAGTGGCTGAGAAATCAATGGAAACACTGGCGACGGCTGCTCGATTTTTACCGGAGGTGTGGTTGCACCAGATGAGCTGAAGAAATCAATTCGACTAAGCGATTCAGGGAGGTGAACCTTTCCACTGAGATCTGGTGAGCAAGAACGTAACACTTCTGGTGCTCATAATTATTTGCAGGGTTAGAGAACAAGAAATAGTGAGACCGCAGAAACTGGGGCAAGTCGACCTTCTAGAGTGATAGAGCCAGGATTTAAAAAAGAATTAAACGCCATGTTCTTGTTCCTGTCGATTCGAATGGCTCCAGCTACACATTTCAGTTGATTGTGGGTATTACAAAAGAATAGCTGAGCGTTCACCCTCCCACCGTGCTGAGGTGGAAAGCTCAACATATTCTAGGAAAAAGATGGAAACGTTCCGTATTCCTTACTTTGGCTTTTCGAGGATTTAATGATCTCATCAATTTTAGGAGGTCGGATTTTCAAGGTTTCATCCTATCTACAGAAAACATCCATCCTCCAGACATTTCTAGCTCAAAACGATCATACAAACAAGCTCTATATAGCCCCAGACCTTCCAGTTTTTTTCTTTTCCCATCCCCTCACTTGTCTACTGCGTGGAGCTTGAGCGGATAGGACACATGCCACGGGGATCTGGACTCTACGCTGACGGCAGCTATAAATTTTGCTGATTTTTTACGTTGAGCACGCAGACAAAAAGCGCACAACTGTGGCATGTGCTAGGACGCAGACGGGGGTAAAAAAGTGCAGAAGTCGCTTGTAATGCCCCGGAGAAAGTGAATAAATGGCAGTTAGCAGGCTAACCTTTTTGTTTTGCATTTGAGTGCATGTTCGTCGAGTGATTGCTGCCGTGTGAATGATCGGCCACATTGCCTGCACGAATAACCGCGTTCAGCATGAATCTTCATGTGCCGATTGAGGTCAAACTGGAAAAGTTCCTTATTCTAAAGCTTCAGAGGAAATAAAGAAAAAGAAATTATTAGCATCTCAAAAAAGACAAATTTTTGCTTTGTAAGTTATAGCTTTGACCATGTTGGGAAAATCAGAAAAAGACTCTGATGATCCAAGAAATTTTTCTGGAAGAGCTTCCCAATAAATCAGCTCCCAGCAGTGGCGCCAACGGTAGTTTGAACATCTCCCACTCATTGCCCAATTTTTTCGATGAAGAGAAGTAGAAGCTAATGAAAAGTGGAGGAAAAGAGGGAAGTACTTTAAAGAGGCTAGTAGAAGTGACTAAAAAAGATGTAACATCCGATAGGTTGATCGGAGTGACGGATGAATTTCGAGTCACCCCCTCCTACCGACCCTGGTACGATAATCATGACCAAATATCATACACCGTAGGGATACGGTAATTCCGAGTGATATCGAGCGATTAATCTGATGAGCTCAAAGTTGGTGAAGCTGAATCACTCTTCTCTTGGCTACCGTTTCTTGCAGTTTGTAATGCACTACATCCTCGCACCTAGTTAATCTACCTGACGTGGATTGTAAAACCCTCGCAAACTGACCAGGACAGGAAGGTAGCTTCAATTGCAACCCTCATCAACTGATGCTTTTTCATAGAAAAGCGATGCTGCAGATTCAAAGCGATTTCAACAGCTCACCTTGAAAATGAAAGTCTTCTGGCAGAGATTACACTGATGTGGACGACCTCCAGAATGAATCATCAGATGCTGGGTGAGGTGTCCTTTCTAGAAAATGGAAATATCTGTAGGACAGTTGTTGTAATTTGCAAAATTGCAACTTTAACCTGTTTGTAATTCATACGCTTGTGATTGTTTACATAAATGCATTTAATTATTATTTAACGCTCGTCACCTACTTTCCCCTCAAAATTACTGTCACCTCACTGTTTTACCGGCTCCACCAACTCGATTCATGGTCAAAACGCATTTGCCAGCCCCTACAGTATACTCAGGGGCGATGCGAAATAGCGCTACGAATCGATATCCAGCAATACAGTGTATCAGTCACATATCCGCCTCATTAGTACTAGGCTGTGCACATCTTCCCCACTGAGGTTTGAGTGGATTACAGGTCAAACTGCAGTTTTTGAACGGTTGAAGGAAGTACCTGGAAGAATGCCTTATTACAATGTTTGCAGACATGTGAACGTTCTCCAGTGTGCCACATCCAATGTTTTTTCAATAACTGCCGGGTTCCGAATTCTTTTCCGCATTGAGTGCACTGAAATAAATCATTTTTCAAATTCCATCAATCAATAAATTATTGCTTCCATTAAGTGGTGAATTACAAATTAAAGACATGCTCATCCTCCAGGTCATTTATTATCCTACAACTTCCTGATGCCCAGAATTCGGGACCTTTCCATCCTCTGGGAAATTTGCAGATGCAAGGTTAGGTCTTGAGAGAACTTCTAAGCTTAGAGCTGCCACATTTTGGATCACGGACAAGTTCAAGGTGGCGTGGAGGACGCCGTGACTCCCTCTACTCGAGGTATTGTAGACTTGATTGATGCTTGATTAGGTACAAAGCTAGTATTCTGAGACAACGAAACCAGCGCCCTGTCAAAGTTACTATTTAGGGCCACCTAGTTGTCAAATCTCAAAGTAATGACCTATTAAGGCTTAAGTTTACTGCTGAGACTTTGGGAGTTCTCATAAGACAACATACCGTATGCGGTTGTTCACCACTGTGTGTCCTCATATGGGTGGATAGCTCCCGCTTCACAGCGAAAATCGTGTGACACACTTCGCACTCGTATTGTGGTTTGTCTCGATGGCAACTCGTATAGTGAAAATTCAACTGAAACGATCGATTATTGATTGTCGATAATCTCTAGTCATCCATCGGCACGCACCTGTGATCGTTCATCGAAACGTGTAGGACAGAAACGACATTGATAGCCGGGTTTTAAATCTTCGATAGAATCGATTGATTGATCAAGCATTGTGTCGTCCATTGATTGATCCATCTGATCCTCATCAACATCATGTGACATCATACCATCCGTTAGATCGGAACTACTTGGTGAATGTCGATCCACTTCTGATAATTCGTGTTCCTGAAGGAATGAAGACCGTATACGCAAGCCTTACTATCAGTCTTCAAGCCAGAATTTCCATCTTATTCCCAACTTTACAGCTGGCGTAGATTCATTTACTGTAACGGCGAATGGTGTAAAGGTATGTTAGAGATTTTTTAAAATTTTCTGAGTTCGTTGAACGAATTGCTGAGCTGATTCAGACGTCAGGCGGCCGCCCTCAGCTGGCTGGTATGGAAATGCACAATGAGCGCTAAGAGATCCACCGAAGTGCCATACGCATGCTATAATAACTTCAACTCAGGTGGGTCCCGTTAGAAATGTTGGGAAATAGGAAAAGAAGGTAGCTTCCAAAGCCGCTAAATCGAACTCTTTAGTCTCCACAACCTGTAGGCTACTGTAACCCATGAGCTGATAAGCCTGAGACCAGGTGTTTGGATTATATCTGGCTTTTATAATGAAACCACACTGATGGTTGTTTTCAGAGGCTCTTATTTCTTAAATCCGATCTGCTTCTGATGAGTTCAAAAAAAACTAACGTCCCCTGTGGGATACGTTTCGAGCNCGAGCCTTTCCGTCACGAAAGGGAAGCGCACGGCTGTGAAGGTTGGAGCAAAGTATCCACGAAATCCTATCAGAATGAGAGGGGAAATGGGGAGGGGGGGAGGGGGAGATTTCAGTTCCAGGTTAATTACCGTATCAAAATGTAGACTAAGTTTCTTTATTCGAAGCTAATTGGTAAACGGTTTGAGAAGGTAGATGGACTATGGTCAGTCGCACTTCTTGGATACCAGCGATGTTCAGGGTCCGTATATGGGGCATAATAATGGGCACTCACCGACTTTACCGATAAGCAAAGACTGGAATTCATGGATTACTTCATCTTGATCATGTTATCTTTGTGTTCTACGAAATCAGGCAGTTAGAGCTCATTTCCCCTTCGCTCCGCTGATACTTTGCTTAACAAAACGTTCTCAAGCACTTGTCTGTGCCGTTGACTTCGTGAGTTCAAACCGTCAACCTCAGCAGACGGATGGGACGTAGTGAACAGCTGAGTTGCTCATCACTCAACGGACAAAGACAATAAAATTGCAACGGACGACGGCAAAAGCTGCGCGGTCTCCAAGCAAATGCAAATGCTACAAAGTGCGCAGTCAGTATCGGCTGGCATGCTTACTGGAGGAGGCGAATGTGGCAAAACTATGCCCTTCCTTGACCTTTTCCACGAAATCGGTTTTGAAGACAGTATTCAAAGCAGTGTTCCCATCGATGCATTGGAGTAACCGATATCTTGGAGCGAGGGGAAGTGGGTTGATCAAGCTTTGAGAGCAATCCTAACCAGGAGCTGAAATGCTTTTCTGCTTAAAATTTCCGCGGCTAGATTGAGAAAGGGAGTGATTATTCGTCCTCTACTCTCCCAGCATTCTCCCAATTCTCCCATGTACTCATGTCCCTCCTCCCACCCGAGCTTTCACACAGTAAAGACGAATTTGTGTAATTACGACTGAAGTCACTGAATACTCAGAGAGCGTACTAGTTCGAGGCATTGCTCATCACTCCAAGTTAAGACACAGCTGACTCATCTATGCTTTGTAATTATTCTGACTCAGAACCGCAGAATGCATGTTGACATGCATCCGAGTAACTGTTACCCCCAATCTTAAAAGTATAGGAATAGGAAAGTGGTAAGGGATTAGAAAACCTTTTACATCCTACCAGCATGCCAGAAAAGCGAATAGGGACTGGATATAGGTATTGTACTTACCGTGGAGTAGGCGCTTCCAGAAGTTTTGCAGGCATAGGTTGTAGGACAGTGTAGGTGCCCACAAATTCATGCTGAGGGTGTTCCTATGAAGGTTGTGATTCGAGCAAGGGTAAGAAAAAGCATTGAAAGGGAACCAGGATGCCCATGCCGTATCACATTTCCCAGAACAATTCTATGGGTTACCATGCCTCAGTAATGCCTAACACCCATGTTCCAGCTCCCAGACCGGTCTTTCTTCCTTGGGGTGCTATAGCCCTTATTTATTGATTCACTGAATTGATGAAATTACGGAAATTTGCATAGGGTATGCAGAACACCCATGACGTCATTAGGGAACAAAGATGACGACTGTCGTCGTCGATCCATCTGACAGCTGAAGTTGAATGAAGCAAAACATACCCGCAAAACACACTCCTACTTTCTTATCAACACAGCTGAGAAGTGAGAAAATGGGAAAAAATCTTCAAGTGGGAAGGTCCAAGGGTTGTTGGTAACTAAGAGATATAAGTGGAATGCCTTTTTAGTTTGATGAGAGAACCATCACAGGGCTATTTCAACCTGACGAAGGCTCTAACTCCGTTCGGAATACCGTTTACAAGCTGAGAATCTGGTATCGTAATTATTATTTTCAGTAAGCAATGCTAAAGTACAGAACCTTTCTTCTACAGTAAATCAATGGACCCTTTTGATCTTTAAGCCATACTCTGCTTCTCTAGGTTCTAGCCTATCCGAGCTCCTTTGATACTTTCTAGTTGACTCACCTCGACGCTATTTTGTGTGTCCATTTGTGTTGTTTTCTTATGGCTATGCATATGCAACTCGAGTTCCTCAAAGGTCGCATAAGAGTTCGGACACTCGGTGCAGAGATAGCAGCAATCGCTGGACATCTGAAAAGTAAATGGTAAAAAATGAGGTGATTGGGAACTGGAGCGCATGGAAGCATATCCGAGTGGAAACGGACTTCTAAGAGACTCCAGGAAGATAATCATTCGTCATAAGAATACGTGAGCAAAAAGGACAATCAAGCTTGGCAAGGAAGACGAATGAATGTGAGACACAGAGGCAGTCTGGTCGAATAGGCACTATACAACGTGTGGGTGATGGCGGTCCGTTTGAAGGAATTCTTCTGTTGAAAAAGCATGCTCCAAATGAATCAGCCCTGTTGCTGGTCACTCACTTATCAATAACACATGCCACCTAGTCTGCTGCTATCACAAAAATGCTTGACGCTCGTGGCTACTGCTACTTTACAGGTAGCAGTTCACATTTCGTAAAAAACGATTGCAGCCGATCAAACGAAATATCGCCTATAGAGAACTTTTTCATTATGCCTAGGCATTTGCATTGCTTAAATTACGCACTTGTTCGGTGAAGCCCTTCTATTCGTCGCCAAGAAACTTCTACCAATTTTGGTTTTTGTCTCCGCCCCATTGTCGCCTTATTGGAGTGTTCATCATGTTCATAGCTAATCAAATGAAAGGCGATAAGGCAGAGTACTCATCGCCATAATGAAAAATACGATCGAAGCAACAAAACATACAAAACGACCAATTAAAAAGGTATAATTAATTGTTGTGGGCGGAGCGTCTACGATTTCTGCCGAAAGTCCTGCAAAATCACCCAAAATTTCCTGAGGCCACGCCCCATCTGGACATGCAGCACGAAATCTGAGAGGAATGGATTTTTTCGTTGCGGAATGATCGTGGATGAGTAACCCCGACGTGATGGGCATGAATGTATGTGAGCAGAACAGTTGGCAGCCGATGGAAGGCACTTTGAATGAATCAGCCGGTCGGACGTTTCGAAGCCCCCACGAGTCCCCCCGGGATAATGTGTTTTTGATCATGACTCGAGATTACCGATGCATGAGCCTCTCCCCGCATCGCTACAGTATTCAGCTAATCACAGTACAAGGGGATAGATGAAATGCTCCTATCGCAAGATAGCTCGCAAACCCTCCTAAGGGGGCCAGTTCTATTGGAGAGATGACACAACTGTGTCCCTTAACCTCTATAAAATTTACTTCTAGTGAGGCTAGACGAATTTTTTTCGTATGCCTCTTGTCATAGGTTCGTATATTGAAGCTATTTCATCAAGTACGGAATAACAGGAGCCCAGAAATTTCCTTCCTTCGGGTAGTGCGTGAAACCACAATATAGAATGAGCCCGCGGTTCTTCGACCCTTCCAAAGACCGAAAGTAGTAATCAGGAACAACTTTGAGTCAGTTCAGTTCTTGACAGTATAGGGGATCTGAGGTCCGAAAATAGCACCTTCGACCGGGCATAGCGGTTTTCGCAACGTTTTTCCCTGTTTTTCGTAATGTTCAGCCGAGAGGAGGAGGTGATAGACGTGGTATATTCCTTTTTCTTCGGAGTCATTCATTAACGATGTTGCGCTCTAAGTTTTTCCGACAGAAATGAAAACACTGAAAACCGCTCTGATATCTTTTCTGTTTATTTTGATGACCTAGGCTTTCCAGGAGGTCATATCACAACAGACTGCTGGGTAGCTTTGGATGGGAGTTCCTCGGCTTTTGGAATGACAGCACGTGTTCACCGAACATTTCTTTTGAAAATAGAGCTTTGTTCTTCACTACCTTGTTATCTCGGTTCAATTTGCAAGAAGAGTTAGAAGAGAAGGATGGTCAAACTTGATTTATTCATTTCTGCCTTAAAAGAGGAAAATACCGGTCATCGATGCTTTGATGACGCTTATTTCACCTTTCCAAAATGGTTGAAGATCGAGCTCCTTCGAAGCAATGGGAGCTAAGAAAAGTCAACAGAATTCTACGGAAGAACAAAGCTGTTCTCGAAAGACGAAGACCTCTTGCTTGAATGCGAAACATAGAGCAAAGGGCCGCGGAATCATGGAATAACGGACTTGAAAGGGCCATCGAATGTATGTATGGGTATTAGACAGAATTAATCCAAGCTCAAGCACGAATAAACTGCCAGTTGCACTCCGTTTACTTACGTCTTCATTAGAGCACATGCAAACGCAAAATTCAAGTGGAGAGACGCCATGAAAAAGCTCTTTTGTGGAGCATCAAGCAGTTCCCCAATTCCCATTCTCCAAAGAAGTTTTCTGATGTAGAAGAACTGACCCAGTAGGAACCAACCGAAAAACGGAAAACAACTGTGCCTTCGGGTACGTCGTATCCCTAACTAGTACTGGTTACTTGGCCTGTGACGTATTCTAATCTAACTCATCACAGGCATCAAACATAAAAGTACGGGGGACGGTGCGTCACAAAACAAATACTCTACTTGTTCATCATATTTACTTAACGTGTGCACGGGTTTTTTTCAATTTTTTTCTTAAACTGGCGAAATTTCCACCGAACTTAATTTTGAGAGGTTGCTGCTCCTTCCTGATTATCACAGCCGTTTGAATGTTCACAGACTTGCTGTCTTCTGAAAAATGTTATCTGGAAAAAGGCGACGTATTTCAGCAGCTAAAAAGGGTGTCCAGAACAGGCGTTCTAATTAATTAGTCCATTTCTTTTACTGAGCATCTCTTCTAGCAAACAGAAGAAATTTCAGCAGACAAAAGTGCAATGGGAAAAACTTTTCGGTTCTTGAAGAGAAAAATTCGACTTTCTTAAATAAACAATCAGATTTTTGTTTACAAAAATACTTTGCAGTTCCAGGAATACATGTAACAAAAAAATAAAGTGCATTGCTTGAGAGCAGACAGCACGGAAATTTACCCAGAAGTTGGATGACACCTCCGAGAGTTACACAGAGTGGACAGGCTGAAATGAGCAATCGAGGGAGGTCCGAAACTCCAAACAAGCCACAGTTATCTTTGCCTTCTGCTGCAATTCGTTTTCATTATTGAGGTCATGAAAGTCGGGTTAGCTAAGGAGATGAGTTTGAACAAATTTTTTGGATTCGTTTGAGACTTCGAAAATTGAAATTCCGGAAATCCCAATCATAAATAAGGTTCTTGAAGACCTTCCACACAAGTTGTGCTTTGGGTCATTACCCAGAAAATTTCTAGTAGGTTTTTACTGCCACTGGATATTAGAAACACCCGATGGTCTATCCTCCTAGCAGTTCTTTTCGAGAGAAGGGAAGAAGGAACTGAGTAAGCCCTGAGCTCTAGCTCTTCAATTTGTAATTGTGTCGAAAGAATGGAACCATCTCCGAAACACACCACACTACACTATCACACCACTTTACTACCCATTAATAATTAGGAAGCAATCCAAGAGACATTACAGTACTCCTGACCATTCAGAGCGTAATGACCTTCAAAAGTTGGCTGCCATCACAAGCGGTGAACAAAGGGCGGCTAGTGTGGAGACGATAGCGGAGGTGACGATAAAGTGGCAGGAACGGGGCCGGCCGGCATGCACACCCAGTGGAAGCTCTTTGTGCTAGTTGTGGGCTTGTATGACCGAATGTTTGAGATGTCGTTGGAGGTTGAGGTCAAGCCGAGTCAAGTATACACAGAAAGGAGTGGCAGCCGCACAAATAACATGTCATTCGGGCTGACTCCGTCCGTCGCTACCGTAACACCGCACTGCTTATTTGGACCGTCAAGTGGGACTTCTTATCAGGTTCTTAACATCAGTAATCACCGTAAGATACCATCCCAACAAGGTCAAGAGAAACCTTGAACTGCAGCTGGTCAAGAGGTCAGCGTTTGGGCTACGGCGCTGAACTTGTGAGACAAAGAACTTTACTGGACTACTGGGAAGTTGGTAAAGGACGAAAATCGACAGCGAGAGAGGTAATGAATGATGAGTCAACCGATCGAGTGCTATCTTCCACTTACCTCATGGATAGAGTGAAATGACAGAAGACCCAGCCAGAGACTGTTCAAACCGTCCAAAAAAGGCGATCGTGCAACGAGTGCATCACTGTAGTATTCATGAATCGAGACGATCGACACCCAAGACCACCCTCCGTGAACAAAGAAATTTTGAAACAGACCACACACACACGGACAGAGGAACACACACGCGCTTCAATGAAAAGCTTTTCATATGCCGGAAAAACTCCACGAAATCGTCTCGTCTAGCGGTTGAGACGGTCATCGAATATTGTGCGATGGGTTGGGCTTCTTGAGAAAGGGGGCAGCTAAATGCAGTAGCTACATGATGGATCCATTTTTTCGGTCTCACCACTTGGTTTTGCAGATGATTACAACTAGTTACCAAGTAGGAACAAGTGGAATGGTTTGGACAAAAAATTAGGATTCCATTAACTACAAATAGGCGACAGGAGTAAAACATGAGGTGGAAAACACTTAGGGCTTGTACAGCACTTTGATCAGATGACTATTGTTCGAAATGAGGAAAAGTTAAGCTGAGAAGAGTATGGAAAGTAGTGGCAGACTTCTACTTTTGATTTTCAACACAAACTTGTTGGTTTCAGCACTTTCCGGATATACCGTCCTGCATATGCCCGCTTGGGGAAAGGGGATTGGACGATGAGATTTTTTGGTATCTCAAAGACAAAATCCAAAGTCTTGATAAAAAGGATCAGTTCATTTAGCATTCTATGAAGGAGCGTCATTTTAGCTTAAAGGTGGTCAGAATGTTGCCCATTCCATCCTGGCACTACATCTAACAACAACATTCCAATTGGGTGGGTAAACGTCTAAGTTCACAATTACCATGCAGACCAAGAATTTCAGGAGTGCAAAAAGAGTAAGATGCAATTTTCCACTGAAAAAGTTTCTCCATGCAATGGAGACAAGATTGGTTAGCA